CCCCCTCGCGGGGCCGTACCCCGCGATCTGCCCGACCGTTTTGTTCCTGGCTGCGGTCCGCGTTAGGGGCGAAGATGAAAGGTTATTGGTCGGCGGTGGCGGCGGGGCAGCCGACCCGGGCGCGCCCGCAGTGCTGTGCCGTTGTGGTCAGGAGAAAGTCCTGCTGCTCCCCGCCCACGCCCCGCGCGCCACGCCTCAATGGGCACCGCCGGGGCACCGCGGAGTAGTGGGCTCGGCGCCGCGGCCGCGCAGCCCGTCCGTCAGCCGGGGCACTCCGTCCGTCGGGTCGCAGGGTGCGGGGCGGGGCGCGGCGGGAGAGCAGGCCCCTCCGCACAGCACAGCGTGAGTCAGTGATACCGACACGGACAGGACAATACGCTTACAAGAGCCCCAGACACCCGGGGCCCAGCATGGCGTCCGCTGTCCGCGGGGTCCGCGGGGCCGTCGTCCCCCAGCTGTGCCATTGCCACCGCTATAGCCCACCGCTGCTGCTGCATCTTGCGCCACACGCAGAGAGCAGGCCACAGAGAAGATGAAAACGGCGCGCGAGAAGGCCGAGCGTGAAGATTATCGAGGCGCAATAATAATAATAATAACAATAATGAGGGTTTTAGACTGCGCGCGACACTCTCGCGACAGCGGCGGCGGCGAGGCGGCGGCATTGTCAGCCCACCGGGCGAGGGTGCATTAATTAGGCAATTAGACGGAGGGCTGTGATTAGGAGCGCGGTGTGGACACGGCGGGGCCGGGCGGGGCGGGGAGGAGGCGGGAGGCGGGCGCCAATGCCACGCCCCGCCAGATCAAGGATAGACGTTATTTTCACCCCGTTCGTAGTAGGCTGGTACACGGGGCCGTCTTGCATCTGATTGGAGTCGAGCCGTTGGTCGGCTGCGCTGGGCGCTGCTGGGCTAGTTAGGCCCACGCTCGCTCTCTCTCCCAATCCCACTTAATATAACTACATCATCATTTCAGAACTGCAGCTTGATCCACGCCACCCAGGGCGACAGCGACCACCACCGGGGAGATCATATGCGAGCAGGAGACAGCTGCTCCGGTCCGGTGCGTCACCCCGATAAGAGCCGGCAAACTTACTGGGGACACGGGTAAAAGGTCTCCCCGACAGAAAGACAACCATTGCCTCCACTTGACTTTGTCCTTTCCGCGTATGCAGCCGGTCGGTCTTCCCTCTCTGGGTCCGGCCGGAGGGAGAGCCTCTTCCTCCCTCCGGCCCCATCCTCTCCACCACACCACCTCCGGGCGACACGGTCGAGCGCGCGGCCGACATGCGCCCGGGCAGGTGCCTTCATTAAGTCTGATTAAGACCGTCCCGTCCCGTCCGAGTGCAGCTACCCCCCCCGCGGGGGCCACAAGTCGCGCCCCTGCGGACCCGTCCGTATCCCGTCCGAGTTGTATGGCAGCCCGCCCCCCTGGGGGTCCTCAACTGAAGGAAGACCGACTGCAAACATATTCATAAGCGCAAACTCTCAGCTCCACCCTTAATTATACCCCCCCCCCTCCCCCCCGAACCCCGTCCCTCGGAAAGTACATCACAGCAAACTGCGTGTCCTCTGCTGGGATGCGGCGAACGCTCACCTGCTCGCTGAACGGCGCGCTGCTTCGGCTCCAGTATCCAGTCGGCGCACAATCACACAGGCAACAACACCACTCACACGGCACGCTGCTCGCGATCACAATGCCATGCCGGCTGTTACAATTATTCGCTGACTTTTATTATTGCTGTTGGAAGGATCCCAGCCGGGAGGAATCAGACGGCCGCTCCGCTGGAGAACGAGGAGGAGATGGGAGGAGGGGGAGGAGGCGGTGGAGGAGGAGGAAGTGGAGGAGGCGGCGGCCGCGGCGGGGCGCGCCGGCGATTTGGTTCCCAACACCACGAGCGGCACAAAGGAGGAGGAGGAGGGACGCGCACAGGTGGCTCCTTCGGGGCGAGGGGCCGGCGTCCTCGGTGGTGAGAGCTCGTCCGGGACGGAGCACGCCGACGACGGCGGTGTGGTGGTCAGGGCACACACCCCGGTGCGCGGCGTCGTACCTGGCCGCGGCGGCGGCGGTGCGCGGAGCGTCGGAGCGAGCGGAGCGGCGGCGCTAACACGGGCGGACTAGCGACGCCGAGCACCTGTCGAGGACTGGCGAGCGCGAGCGCGAGCGCGAGCCGAGCAGCCGAGCCGGCCGGAGCCGGGGCCGACTGACGTTTGGACTCCCCCCCCCCCCCTCTCCTTAGGCCGGCTTGGGCCATGCTTGCTTGGGCCCCCCTTGGGTTCCAACAGCGGCAGCGGCGCGGTGGAGCGGAGCAGGGCAGGGTGCCCCCCTCCCCCCCCCCCCTTACCTTTTCTCCAACTCCAGGCCGGTACCCTTGGGATCCTCCTGCGCTAGGGTGGCCAGACAAACGGGTACCCTTCACAAGGACTAGAGTGGACGGGTCGCCTTCCTGCTGAGCAGGGCCGCCGTCGACTGTTGGGGGTCTGCGTAAGTTTGAATGAAATAATGATGTAATTTGAATGGTATAGAATTATGAATGCCTAGCTTATCAAGAAAATAGTCAGAAAAATACCTTTCTTATAAAATTGCATTATAGTGTATTTATTTATATGGTACATATTCGGCTCAAAGATCTGAGCAAGTGCTTATTATTATAGGGTCCTCATTACTGGATTATCATTTTTGTCAATGGGGATGGTAAAAATCTGAACTCCTTTTCCCACAACACACACGCACAACAGATTCCTGCAGATAGGTGAAATATAAAACAGATAAAAATACAGATTAGATTATGATCAAAGCCAGGGATAATTGAAAGATAGATTTTTTAAACATACCCTTTTTTCCAGACCTGGATGTCCTGGATGTCTGGCACAGAACTAATGGTCTGGCAAAGAAATTTGCATTTCAACTCAGAACTTTCAGTTTGATGTAAAGACCAACACCAAAATGTCAATCTCTGATCTATTGACGTGCTAATCAGCAACTGCCCAAAGAGCCAAACACCTATGGTAAAAGCTAAATGTTACGAAATGCTCCACTGTAACATCATACATGATACACTTAAACTTAAAATATGTTACCTACCAGTTACTTGAGCAGCATGTGCTGAACTTGAACACCATTTTGAAAAGACAAATGCATCGTTTTGTTTCACATTCAAAGCACTTAGCACAACCGAATTGTCATCCCCACCACTTGCTAAAATAAGGATAGTTTCCTCACGAAGGGAACGAACTGTTGCTTGGATGCTGTTCACTCCTGATTGATGACACTGATAACTAAGTATAGGCTCCTCCATCATATCAGGCCTGTTAAACATCTCAGGAGCAACATTCCACAGAGCGATTCTGCCATCTGTAGCAGTAGATATCAAAATTGATCTTTTTCCTAGTGATACAGTGAGCACTTTCAACACACATTTACTGTGAAACATTGATTCACCAAGAACTTTAAAAGTCTTTTCAGTGGAATCAAAAGTCATCCATCTAAGACATGGGAAAATATAATAATTAACCAAGTAGGTGGGAGCAACACTGCTAGAACAGAAATCCCGCGGGTGAAAAAAGTAAACATAAGTTAAGAAAAACAGAAACTGTACCTTAGAGCACCATCTGAACAACCCGACACAATATACAACACAGGATCATCATCACAGCTTGGAACAGTACATAGCGTCATGTAACGCATCTCAGGGTCGATAGAGGGTGGTGATCTAGAACTTCGTTCACCTTTCAACATATGTGACGCCAGTTCCACGCATGAATTTTCTTTTTCAAATCCTACAATTATGAAAAATTAAAAAAGGTGTAAGACTGAAAGAATTTTGGATTTGGAAAAGTTATAAATGAAGAATAACACTTTCTATGTACACTTACCCTCTTCTACACACCATGCTTTCAGTTGAGCACGGCCACCAGCAGTAAAAAAAAACTTATTATGAACACACACACAGCGAACACTTGATATGTGACTTGTGAGTGTTATTTTTTTCTTCAACCCTGAAAGATTACTGGAAAAGACCATAAATTAATAAATCAATTGAGCTGTACTTCCATCATTCATTTTGAGAATGAATGAAATTTATTTTCAGAAAACAAAGAAAAAAGTTCAACATACTCCAAAAAATCACAGAGATATACAGAGCCATCTTCACCACCCAACAAAATACTTGCTGAATGATTGTAGAGTACAGAGGCACAGTTCATTTCTCTAGAACTTATTCCATGCTAAAAAACAACAACAAAGTTTTGAATCTATTTCTAAGAGGAGATTAAATTCAAGAACCCATTGTGCACACCTGTAAGGTTGGCTTCATTAACGTATCCAAGGATTGTAATGAATAAAATATGTTCTTTTCCCTAACAAAAACAATTTCCAGTTGGTTTGAATTAGATATGACACAGTCCCATGATCGATGACCACCTCCACAATCAATCTGAAATATTGTTCTTCTTTCTTTCAAGCTCCAAATAATCATATTTGTCTAGAATAGTTAAAATTCTTTAAGAAAAAGAAAAAGAAATCTTTTTCAATGTTACCACAATGAGATCATACCTCTTTAAATCCTAGTAGTAGAAGATGTTCTAGACTTGAAGATATGGGAAGAATAGCACAGACCCAATCCAATATCATTTTGTCATTGGACATTACTGACATTCGTACTAACTTACTATCTATGCTGATTGATCTAATTACACCATCTCGTCCCGTTGAAAGAATAAGACAGCCAACCTCTAAAATACTAGTTGATCCTAGTTTTCCATGTAATCTTGATAATGAATAATCTGCAGGTAAATGCTAAAATAATTGTTAAACAATGTTAGTAAAATATAATTTTTTTGAGAGAAAGCGATAATTTTTTAAAAATCTTACTTCTTTACTAGTAGGAATTTGGAGGTGAAATAAATGCAATGAACCACAACGGTCTCCACACAAGAGAAAAGTTTTGCCATCTCGACAGACTACAGTAGCACACGTTGGCCAGCGCTCACGAGATCGAGGCAGTAAGAATCTTCCTACACACATTAGATTCAGACCTAAAAACAGTGCACCAAAATATCACCACAAAATTTACTTCAAAGATGGTTATACAAAAAAAAAATCAAATTTCGGGAGATAGATTATTAGATCAAAGTAAAAGTAAGTCAAGTTCATGACAACAGACCTGGCTCTTCAGGTAGCTGCCATATACTTAAACGACCTTGGTCACCACACACCAATATTTTGTCATTAGAAAGCCATAACAACGACCAAATTTTCCCATTTTCCACTTGCTGTTCTAAGGTCCAATGCTCCAAATCAGTTATGAAACCTACAACAAGAATTTAGTTTCGGCATCAATATTTAAAA